GGTCAACTTCAGCCTCTTCAGCACCAGTGGTTGGGGCATAGACTTGGACTATTGTGATGTTGAATGCTTTGCCTTGGATTGGAACTGAGATCATTCTGTCATTTTGGAGATTGTATCCCAGTACTGCTTTTCCTACTTTTTTATTGACTATGAAGGCTACTTCATTTCTTCTGAGGGATTCTTGCCCGCAGTAGTATACCTGATGGTCATCTGAATTAAATTCACCCATTCCTGTCCATTTTAGTTCACTGATTCCTAAGATGTCGATGTTCAGTCTTGTCATCTCTTGTTTGACCACATCCAGCTTGCCTTGATTGATCTTACATCCCAGGTTCCTATGGAGTACAGATCTTTGCAGCATCGGACTCTCCTTTCACCACCAGATACATCTGCAACTGAGTGTCCTTTCGGCTTTGACCCAGTTGCTTCATTCTTTCTGGCGCGACTAGTACTAGCCCTCTGCTCTTCCCCAGTAGCATACTGGACACCTTCTGACCTGAAGGGCTCATCTTCCGGGGTCATATCTTTTTGCCTTTTGGTACTGTCCGTGGGGTTTTCATGGCAAAGATACTGGAGTGGGTTGCCATTTCCTTCTCCAGTGGATCATGTTTTGTCAGAGCTCTCTGCTATGACCTGCCCGTCTTGGGTGGCTCTGCACAGCATAGCTCATAGCTTCACTGAGCTATGCAAGCCCTTCACCACGACAAGGCAGTGATCCATGAAGGAGATCATACATGGTACAATCAATTTAAAATTATAGTTTAGCCACACAATATTTACAATAATTATGAATTTACTAACATTCATTTCTGGAAGGGGGAAAGTTTGGCGGAGCTCTCTTACAAGTATACTGGACTGTCACCTTTTTTGGACTGGAACATCCAGTATGCCTGACCATTGAACATGAGATGCTGAATGGAATTGAAGTTCAAGGTATCTAGTGGATACCGGTTTCTGGAACGCTGTCTTAGAACAACAGTGAGGCTTTGGATTTGTAAAGAGTGCTAAACATATTGCTTGTGCTTCATCCCCCCTTCAATAAAAATCTGTTTCCATCCCAGGAAAAATGATTTCAAAATTTCCTCAAATGTTACATCTCTGCTCTGATGAAGGCTTGCGCTGAACAGCTTCAGTGATTGCCAGTAGGAAGGAAAAGGAGGTAGTGCTGGACACTCTTAGGAAGTGATGCTCCATAGGACATGTTCCCTGCACAGCCTTTCAGATGGGAATGGGGATAAGAGGGTGTCTTGATAAGTGAGGGCAACCAAAATGTGTTTCTTGCTTTTGCATATCTTTGTTCCCAGTTTAGGGTAGGAATGTAGCAGTGCCTTAGAAAGAAGGTTGCTCTTTTCTACTGTTTTTCCTGCTAGTCCTGGAAAATCCAATTTATTTATTTATTTATTTATTGCAGTTGCCACTTTTCTGCACTGCTTTGTAGATTTCAAATAATATTCTTAAATGAGTGTATTCCAAGGACTCCTGGATGTTTAGTCAGCATTCCTTTTTTGGACCATGTTTATCACTCCTGATGCACCTTTCCAAACTGATTTGCTTTTACACGAAGATTTTCTTACTAAAATCCCATCCTTTGATGACATAAAAATGCAAAAATAGTCTGTAAGCATTTTAAAGGAAACATGAAAGGGATATCTATCCTTTTTCTGTCCGTAGACTCCATCACATATAATCTTTTAAAATATTTGTGAACAGAGATGCGCCACACTTTTAATTATTAGACTAAAGGCAAATATTGCATTCATTTCTGCAATAGGAAGGATATGACATTGACCCTTCTGATCTCCATGGTGATCTACTTTGTACCTTTTTAATGATTGCCTAGGGCTACACACTAATGGAGAACAGGTAATAGTGAATAACAGTCCACTACTCAGAGTAGTAAACCAGATACTTTAAAGTGTCCTAAACTGATTTACCAGTTTCATAGATTTTATATCTTCTTTGAAATGTTGTAAATAATATTTTTGAGTCTTCATTTTCATGAACTGAAATTATAATTGGGATGCTAGACCTTGGCTACTCTGTAAACTGGTAAAGTTAAGTCTTGCAAAACCTCAGGGCTAGAAGAAAGCAAACATGTTTGCAAGCTTATTACAACAATCTCTTTCCAAATGCAAACTGATAGCTGCAAAGCAGAACAAAGCAATAGCTTTGATATTTGACCAACAAACAGGTAATAGCGTGATTCTTTAGAGGCGTCTGTTTAGAGACCTGATTCAAGAACGGTGAGCTTGGGCTATATTTGGAGGGCATAAGCTGCAACTCTGCCTATGTTCAATCTATTTGTAGACAAATACAAATTTTACAGAAACTTCTCATATAAGCCTCAGATGAATCCCTTCCAAAGTCCAATCTCGATTAAATGTTGTGTCCTGTTACAGAAAACACACTTGCATGGCTGTTTTTTCTGTCTCCGTATGGCTGGGCACCCGCCAAGGGCCCACATCCAAGGGGGCCCCATTGATAAGATCTGCTTCTTTTCTTCATCACTGTGACCTGCTTATTTTACTTCTTACTCTGGTCCAGACAACAGTGCTGGTGAGGAGGATGAGCACCGTGGCTCACGTGCTCATTAGCTCTCTGCCTACCAAGCGGAGGGTAGCAAACTCATTAGCGTTTAAGTAATATTCTACAATGTACTTTATTAAGTGAATCCCTTCTGTAACAATATACAGTAGACTCTTGACTATCTGGCTCGTGACTATCCGGCCTCCGTACTATCCGGCCTAGTTAAAAAATAACTATCAATGAACAGTAAAATAAGTTTAAATAATTTTTGTAAGAATTAAGCCTATGTTTTACATTGTTTTGTTTATTTTACAAGTGTATGTATTCATACTGTACAGTGTACATGATTTGATGTTTCCTGCAATTAAGTTAGACATTATAAAATTTATCTTAAAATGTATACAATATTTTTATCCTTGGACTTCCTTTTTCTGTAATAAATTTTTAAAACGTACAGTACAGTACATAACAAACATTTATAAAGTACTGGCCTGTACTAAGAGGTCAGAAAATATGAATAAGAGCGGGTTTTCGTATAAAAAGAGTGTTTTTAATGGTACGGGTGGGGAAGGAAGTGAGCATTTATAGAACTCCGGCCTATCCAGTCTTCCCTTCCGCCACATTAGGCCAGATAGTTGGGAGTCTACTGTAGTTCATTGTGTGATTTAAGGGATTAAAGCTGCAAAACAGTAGAGTGTTACATAGTTGCAGAGTGCATAAAGTTTCAGCTGTTGGGTGGTAAAGGAATTAATTAAAATATAATCACAAATCAGTGGATAGTGGGGCCTGATTACTTTTATAACTTTTTTTAACAACTGGTTGCCATGGAATACTTTTGCCATCCAGCTAACCTTTCGTTGTCTTTGCTAATTATTTAAATAATGTCAAATCTTATTTAGTTCCAAATGGAGCGTCCTGGATTTTTTTCATATTACAAAGCCAGCCTAGACTTTAGAAGCTGTTTGTCCTGACATGCTTGGAAGGAGAGGGGAAAAGACCTGCACATGACAGTTTCAGTGAACATCACCTTGGGATGCACATCTAAGGTTATGTGTTGCTTTCTTCACACTAATAGAAGATATTCCTGCCCCAAGTAACAGCTTCTACTACTCAGTCAATTGTGCCAACTACTGCCAGATGATGTACTGACAGTTACAAGTTTTCACAGTTTTAAAAGGGATTAGACAAAATCCCATGGTCTGTAAGAATCTGGTACCATGGTCAGAAGCAGTATACCTCTGAATACCAGTTGCTGGGGAGAATCAGTGGAAGAGCTCAAATAGTCTCTTCACAACACTCGCTTGATCTTTAGGAGGGGACCTGATGTGTCCCAAAAGCTCCCTGCATTTCTTTTTGGAAGTAAAGTACATGGACTTATCTTTATACTTTCCTGCTATAGAGAATGTTTTAACCCCTTTGTAACCACTTTACAAACAGAGCTCTGACTTTGGCACTTGCAAAAGTACCTACTCACATTTATTGGAATCCCAGCAAAGTTTCCATATCCCTGAGATGCTAGTATCTCAGAAAGACTTACAGAATTCATGGAACCCTTGGGACACCTGAGCTCCTCCCCACCCAAGGATCTTGCTGCAAAAGGGTATTTCAGTGTCCACTTTTATAAACAAGGACCACCCTTGGCTTCAGAAACCTTTGATAGCTCTTATATTGGCTGCTGACAATGATACCAAAGCAGCAATTACCTTACTTCCAGGTGTGGGTGGGCTCCACATGGTGGGAGCACCTGCTGGACCTGGTCAGCACTGCCCTAAACAGCACCTGGTCCTGTCTGCTGTGGCGCACATTATGGGGGTCAGAGATGAAAAGAAATGTGAGCACCTGTGGCAGTCCTTTCATAGGACTCCTTGGAGAGACTGTAGCTGGCAAAACTGGGAATTACAAAGGGCATTTTCATAGTGGCCTTTTGCAATCTCCGAACAAGAAAGACTAAAACGGGGAAAGCCACCGTACACAGAACATGGCAGACGCTCATGGCGGATCAAGTGGGCAGAGGCAGGCACCACCACTGTTTTTTCTTCCCCACTTGTCCTTCTCTGTGGTCAGCACTGCAGGGCTAGCCCTTGCTGCTGCACCCACCAGAAAGGTCCAGTGAAGCAACCAAGTGTGTGCGTGCGCGTTGTGTGTTACTTTTCAGCAAGAAAGAGCATTGATCACGTTCTAGCTCAGGAACCATCTCGAAAGGTTTTTTTTTTACGCCCCTTTGTGTGCCTGGTGCGTCCTGGAACGAACAGAGAACACCTGGGAACCCCCAGTTTGGAAACAAGCAGGAGCAGCCCCGCGTCTGGGTGGGATGGAGAAGGGCCGTCATGGCTCTTGCAGGACACAAGCAGGGAGGTCCAAGCCACCCGAGGGGGCCACTCTCCACAGCAGTGGCCGCCCCCCAGCTGTATGCGCCCGCAGGCCCTCCTAAGCTGCCGCGGAGGGGACCAGCCTCAAAAAGCGCGCTGAGTTACCTTCGTGCCCTGATAGAAGTCGTCTTTGGACTGCGTGCCCATGAAGGGGAACTGCATGTGCGTGTGCGTGTCAATTCCTCCGGGCAGCAGCAGCATGTTGGAGGCGTCTATCACCCGGACCCCAGCGAGGGTTGGAGGCTGGAAGAGCGGCTCCACCGCCCGCACGACCCCGTTCTCCACGTACACATCAGCCGCCTGCGAGAGGTCATCGTTCACGACTCGCCCGCCTCTGATCAGGAGTTTCTGCATGCTGGCTTCTCTCTTCCCCTCCTCGGCTTAGGAAGTTCCCCGCGGAAGGGCGTCCGGAGCTTTCAGCGAGGCGCTGGGGACGCTTTTAAGACTCCCTCCTGCAGCCTCTGGGCTTGCCCTGCCATCACTTGCAACATAGCAGCATGGAAGGGGCGAGTTCAAGCGATTAACTCTTTCCCACCCCAGGGCTTTTAGCGACGGTATACAGTGGGACTGCTTTCCTGAAACATGCTGTTTTTCCACGCTGGTAGTAGCTTTCCCACAACAAAAGTGCCTGGGCATGTTAGGCAGGGTGGGGTATTTCTACTCCTACAAGAACCAGAGTTTCAGAAAGAGGACAGTGCTTGGGATGTGAATTTCCCTTTCAACACTCCAGCTTGTTTCCTATTTTCCTTCTGAATGGCTTTCTCTTAGCTCCCAAAACATATGTTTATGTTTAGAAAATCCGTGGCTTCTTTTGTTATGGAATCTCACTTTCCTAGTAGCGTCTTCCTTGCCCGCACCCGCGCCACCCAAGAACTGTTGTGTGCAGGATTGGTCGATCATTGTAAAAATAACAATAGTTTAACTAATCGCAAGCTGGTGCATTCCCCAAGCAGCCTCAATTTCTTTTTCCTCCGTGTTCAAAAGGTTCGGGCCTGGAGAGGGAGGCAATTACATTCAGTAGAAGAGTTATAGCCTAGAAAACATTCTGACCAGCCCTCGCAGCTTCTTAGGGCAACAGGTAGATACAATTAATAATAGATACAGATTATAAGTATAAATGTATACTAGGTACAAAAACTTAAGTGTAGTTACTGGGAGATCACATGCTTTATAATACTCTGACAGTGTCTACAAGATTTCTTTTAGGTAGAGATTTGTTTTCACAAATAATGATCTTATTTTCTACTCTATTAGATTATTCATGCTTGTAAAATTTTTCTCTCTTAGACTAAGCTACATAACAGTTAAGGGCTCATTGCAGCAGGAATCTGTGTATAATAAATACACAGTGGACTTAATGAGCAGTAATTGCAGCCTTAAAGAAGCAATCCTGAGTGTGTTGGGATGGGAAAAAAGTCCTAAAAAACCCAGCATGGTCCAGCTAGCCCCACTAGACCTTTTCGATCTATTTACATGGGATTGCTACCTTAGTTGAATTCCCATGTATATTTTACTGGGAAGTGAGTCCACTGAACTCAGTTGTTTACTTTTGATAAACGGGTATAGAATTACAGTTCATGTGTCTCTCTAAAATGAATGTTTAGCCCATCCAATGTTTTAATTTGCACAACTCCCAAAGAACTTTGGTTATTTGGTGATTTGAAATTGTAATAAATAACAAAATGCCTTTGTAAAACTATTTACTTTCCTTTTCCTCCAAGTGCCTTCAGAGAGAAATGACATAAGGGCTGTTGTGCTTTTTTTAAAAGAATAAATTTAAAAAAGAAGTAAAAAAATACCTTACTCTAAATAAATCTCAGTGGAATAATGAGGATAGAATTTACAATACAGTCAAAGTAATGAAATTATGTGTTGCCTGTCACTTAAATAAAAAGGTCTTTACCTGGCACCCAACCTATGGAATTCACTCCCCAGAGAGGTCCGCCTGGCACCGTTGTTACTGGTTTTTCGGCGCCAGGTAAAGACCTTTTTATTTAAACATCATTTTAATTGTTAAAATATATGATCTGGCCAGGGCAACTTCTTCTTCCCTTTTCTCCTCCTATATTCTTTATTTACTTATTTTATACTGTTAATTTTAATTTTATATTATTGTATCTCAGTGTATTTTTTGTATTTAGTGGTAATTTATTATGTTCTATTGTATTTCAATGTATCTTATTGTGTTGTAAGCCGCCCCGAGGCTTCGGCAAGGGGTGGCATAGAAATGTAATAATAATAATAATAATAATAATAATAATAATAATAATAATATGTTGAGCTGGTAAGCAGCCCAAGTATGTTATATTTTATGTGAAGCATTTATCTGGACCTGTTGAGCAATCACCTTCTCCTGGTGAAAATTACTGGGTTAACAGCAATACTTATTTACTGAATGCTGGCAGACCCTTTAAAACTGTACTTAATAAAAACTACTTTTATTGATAATAGTTTATATTTAACACATTTTTAATATGCTGATATTGTTTTTACTTATTAGCCACCCTGAGAAAATTATGGCCTTTACTTGTGGCTGAGAAATGGTTTGATTAATCCATACATTTCTTTCAGTTAAGGTTTACCATCAGATTTAGCAATAACATTTTACCCAATTCTATTACTCATTTTGTTTCTTACAGCCTTCCTAGTTGCAAACTTACCTATTGTCACATCCCTTTCCCTGACCTGTAAAAAGCAGCAAGTCAGTGAAATAATGAACCATGTGCTGGGAAAGCCCAGATACAAATCTTAGTACTTAACCACCAAGTCCCACAGTGACCTTGACCCATCCTACAGATACTGGAAGGGATGATTTACCAATCTGCCTTTCAGTGATCAATCTGCCATATATCAGTAACAATTACTGATACAATTTATACTAAGTACTAAACACATCAAATTTGCTTCATTAGTTGTATAATTAGACACATTTTGCAGTCTAAACCTTGCCCTTGTTATCTCATGCAGAAGAATTTTAAGCAATGGGATGAGTTTGCATCATAGCAATAATGCTGAATATGAACTGCACAACTGTTGGGGGGTTTCATCACGATTCCCCCTTCCTCTGCTGCCTTAAGGGGTGGCAAGAATCAGGCAAACTCACTTCAAAATAACTAGGTATTGACATAGACCACACTTCCATGTTAAACATTATTCGTATAGAAAAGAGTAGGAGAGCTTGCTACTCAGTCATGACACCATAACCTATGAAATAGGACAGAGACAACATGTACTGTCACTTAAGCTATCCGTACTGTTTTTGATTGAGGTTCTGACTTTAACAGCTGGACAGTTAGTTCCTCTAACTCTATGACAGAGAAGAATGTGCATTACGTTTTCCAGAAGGGAAAAGCTTTACCTATTGAATTTCTACCTGTCATGGAGCAAGACTTCTGCTACAAACAGTTTTGCCATACTGGCTAGCTTTGCTATAATCCACTGAAAAAGAGAACAGATAGTGTATCTCATGCATGACATATTCTGGAATTATCTGTCTCTCCCCCCCTCCCCCATTCTTTTAAACTTAATTCCCCACCACCACCCACCCACCTACCCACCCACACACAAGTAGTTTCCTCTCTGGCTAACGATCTCTTCTAAAGCCAAAGGCCTTTAAAAATATTAACTTCCTTCCCAAATTCTCAGAGAATAATTATGTTGCTCATGTTTTCCTCCCACTTTTAGTAATCCTGTGAATGAATGCCCTCCAAAATGTCCAATACAACAGTGTGGATGACCTTGGCCCTGGTCTCCAGTGAAACATCCTTTAACTTGATGAACTGTTCTAGTTACTTCATTGCTGCCCTTCCAAGTCTGTCTTCTAACTCCTTGGCTATAACCTCTATTTGAAGTGAGGTATATGGTATCTCGAACAATTTCAATCTCTTCACTCTTGATCTTAAAGTTTTGTAATTCTTATGCTATCCTCACAATAACCCTGTAATGTACCGTGGGCAGTGAGACTTAACTTCTAACAATCTCACTGCAATGGGTAGAGGGGGGCAGACCTGGTACATGGATTAGCTGAAGAAAAACCTTCTTGCCTTCCTCTATACAAGGTACCAGAACTGCTTTTTTTTACAGTCACTCTGTTAAAGAATAGCCTAAACCTGTATTTCCCCAAACATAAGGTTTCTCACTATTTATATTGTAGAGCCATTTTAAACTTTCATTTCTATAATAGCTCAATAACTTATTGAGATTCATCAACACTGTAATCTCCCTCCCATGGACAGTAACTTCTAGTAAGGAGTGAGGTTATAATTCATGTGCAATGGTTAAAGAAGGTTAATTTAATTTATTTCATAGTCAGTTCTTTTGAAGAGATAAATAAACTCTGTTGAGGCTGAAACAGAGGAGGTAAGTGGTCCCTTCTCTTGAGATTTATGGAGCTCATGAAATTTGAGAATTCTTCAAAATAGCAAACTTAAAATATTTAAAATTCAATGAACAAGTACAGTTAAACTGAGCTTTTTACTAATAGCCTTGAACTCCTCAAACTGAAAAGTTAATTATTATGTAACAAGTCAACTGTTGAACCATATTTCAAAAACTTAGTGCTTATGCTACATTTTCCCCTTATATCATAGGGGACTCTTTATGTATTGTATTTCTATTCTGCCTTTTCACTGAGACTTATTTCCAACAAAAATAGCATACAATGAAGCAACATAGGAGAGGCACGATAACTTAGAATCATTTTGTTCCTAGGTGGAAATGCTGCATATGTGGGAAAGTGCCTGCATTTAAAGTATTTCCAAGGAGCTGTCCTCAGGTGAACAATTAGACTATAGTTAGTAGAAGTGATGACAGCTCCTATAGTAAAGAGTGGGCCTGTTATTGCACTAGAACTGTCTGAGGATTCTCTGAGCTAGTAGTCCTCTTATTTATCTATTTACAAATAGGACAGTGGGTTTGTAGCCAAAGGACCTGCTTGCCTATTTTTTTCCTGCCCAAATAATATATTAATAAATGAATAACTAAGTTTATTATGGAATTTTTTAAAAAACAACAGGAAAGCCTTTGTTTTTCTTATACGCACAGAGGCTATTACTTCAGGATGTTGCTGTAGTGGAATCTTCCCAAAGACATACACATGAGGACTGACATGAAAGAATGTTGTGTGGTGTGAAGATTTTTTTTTTTTAAGGGATGTTTGCTGAGATTGATAAAGACAGTTCTTTAAAACACTTCTTGTTTCAACAATGGACTGGGCATATGTATTGAGATTCAGATGAAGAACTCATTCTTCCACAAAGTAATCAATTTATTGTGAAAAATATTGTCACCCAAGCACTGAAGCTACTGGATTGCTCAAACAGAAGAGTATTCTTTTCCTTTCTTACTGAAATTATGCTAAAATACTAGGATAGCTCAAACCTATAACCAGAAGACTGCTTCAA